CTCTTTCCATAGTATTTAACTGTTATGGATACGGTAAGAATTTTGTAATTGTAGAGAAACATTTTACTACGTGACACAGGTAAAAACTTCAGAAAGGATACTACCCCTTTTAAAAGATAGACGTCAGTGCATGTGCTGTGACAGAATATTCTTGTCAGTCTCCATAGGGGTCTTAAAAAAAATAAAGAATTGTCAAAAAGGTCCTGCCTTAAAAACCCCTCAGTCATCCTTCTACCCCAAGTAACTAACCAGTGGTCATAAAATATCAAAACACTCGTGTATTACATGAGGTGCTAGTCATTAGGAAGCATTTTCCAGGATGTCCCAATGTGAAGCTTAAGAGCAGAATTTGGACAAGGCAAGGAATAAAATATTTTCTAAAAAAAGCTACAGCATCTGTTTTGAAAACTAAAGAGAAGTTAAATAGGGAAGTGTTGGCAGCTATCAGAACAAAAAAGAAAAAAGCTTCACATGTACCGATCTTTGTTATTCTCACCTACTGAAACTTGTTTTAAAATTCCACTCCTGCTTGTCTTTGTATATACAAAGACTACTTACTAAGATGTTTCCATGATGCATAAATAAATACTTTTGACTTTGGGTCTTTCAATGTAAATCACACTAATAGGGCTGCACAGGCAACATAGCACACAGTGTGTTGTGCATTCATCACCAAGGTCATGGAACTTACACTCTCAGGTAACATACAATGAAGCTATCTGTGCACTTTGAAGTCAGCCAAAAATAACCTGTAATGGCTGTAGCAGGGCTTTTTTTCCATTTTTTGTTTTCATACGTTTGCCAGTTCTCATCAGTTTTCCCAATTCCACAATCTGAAGACACCAGAAATGCCACCAGTATCCTTCTGCCTTCTACACTTCCATGCTCACACTGACAACCCGTGACAATTAAATCCCACAGTTCTCTTTCCTTTGGCTTCATAAAGTTTGTATTTATTTGCTTGGGTCTACCCTAAACTCTCCTTGATCCAAATAGTTTCCTTTTGGTCATAATTTAATTTCCACTGGTTCTTTTCTTCCTAAAATACTTAGGAGCCATCTTGCAAACACTACCCAGTGTAAAATAAGAAAAAAATTAAAAAAGGAAAAAGCAACAACAAAAGAAAACCAAACATTTCCAATCTCTCTTCCTTCTCACTCCAATACCTTCAGGGGACAAAGTAGGCAGTGTGACCAGCACTCCTTTTTTTATGTCCACATGCAGTCCCCATATCCCCAACACATTTGTTGTGCTGCCCTGCTTCTGGTTCCTCCTCTTGGCTCAATCCCAGAGTTCCTTCCAATCTTAACTTGTTCCTGCATCTTTTATTCCCTTGACACTGTACAGAAGTACTTCTTGTCATGCTTCCAACTGCAAAGTGCATTTCACCCTCTTCTTTCCTTCCTACTTTCTCCATTTCTACCTCTGAAGCTCAAGTTCATTAAAATGTATGAACTTCTTTGCACACTTCCACTGTTCCCATTCCATATTTCTAATTCCTTGCTTCCTAAAGCACCCCACATTTCGAAAAGGCACTTCTATGTTGCTCAATGCTGCTACTAGTCACTACTGCACTTGCTTTGGTACTTCTCTCACTTGCTCCTTCAGCATCTCCCTTTACCAATGCCAACTACTCCTTCCCCACCTCCACCCCCCTCTGTGAGCAAGGTTTGTCAACTTTCTCCTTCTATTACCCTCAGGCAACATCATCTGCAGCCTCCTATTCCTAAAATAAGAAAATCGAGTACTCTTCTCACTTGTTCCCTTGTGTTGTTCCCTCCAGCAAGCTGTCAATACCTTAAACTCTCAACAATGAAAATAAAGACACCTATCTTGCCTGTTGTGCATGTGGATGATCTTAAATTGCTCTTTATCCTACCCTCGAAGTTTGTATCCAAGACTTTCCCCCCCCCCTTAAGTTAAACCTTCCCTATTCCTTTTCCCAACTACCAAGGCCTTTGCTATCACTGTACCTAGGACAGATGTAAACACTTCATTCCAGTCAGCTGGAATATATGTAAATCTCTCTACAGTCTCTTTCAGAAGTCACATTCTTCTTCCATTGTCTGACATGATTCCTTTTTCTGAACCAGACTCCTGAGCAACTTCGTTCAATGTGCCTACCCTGTCCATGTCCCTCTCCCTCTTCATTAAACTTGTGCCAAAACTTGCATAATTCTTAATGCATCACTTCTTTCTCCTAAGCCTATCTTTTCTGTATGCCATCAATGAGTCACACCACCACCCAAAGCCAATCTACCACTTTAGAAGAACTAAAGCTTAAGAGACCTCCAAAGAATCCACATCCACAGTAATGCATCACTTCTTTCTCCTAAGCCTATCTTTTCTGTATGCCATCAATGAGTCACACCACCACCCAAAGCCAATCTACCACTTTAGAAGAACTAAAGCTTAAGAGACCTCCAAAGAATCCACATCCACAGTACTCTACAGAAAATTAACTCTTTCTACATAAATATCACTGAAGCCTCAAGTCATTCTCCCCATGGCAAACATCAGCACACTTTTCCATACTAGAGAGTATCCTATCTGATCATATATTATATGTAAAATAACTGAATTTATTAATCTGAGACAGAGAAAGGTACTCAACAAAAGGGCTATTAAGTAACTATGTGTTTGTTAGGTGACAACAAAAAGGAAGAAAGGGTAGAATGGAAACATCATACCCATTAATTCTGTCATTGTAACTGACTTGACAACATATTTAACAATTCAAACACACAAGTAATAATAGTGTACCTTTATTTTAACACGTGCACTGCACTGATGCAGTAGATACAATGCCAGCAGTCTTCTCTTTGCACAAACTACTATCAATCAAGTTTTGAAATAGTTAGATCACATTTCTAGGTGGAAACAGCATTTGGTGCAAAGAATAAGAAAACCCTAATGGTAACCCTACCTCATGAACTATTTGCATACATAGTGCACCAATCATAGCTATTTCCCACTGGCCTTAAACATGGATAATTCAACTGCAGCAGTTTGCATTTGAAAATTCTAACACAAGGAATCTTCTTTTCCTTTAGAAATCTACACTACAACAACAAATAAATAGACTGACAGTGTGTATATATTTGCTCAAAATCAATTCAGCAACTTAAAAATATAATGTTCAGTGTTTACCGAATTGCTTATACTGCATCTATCACAAAAAAAAAAAAATCCTACATTAGAAAAGTTTAAAGAAAAAAATTTCTCCAACTCTCTTTTATACTTTATCAGTTGAAAAGCAAAGATTTGCAAGCACTGCTGCCTCTCACCTATCAATATATAATTCAGGTCCCCTTGTCATTCTGGGAACTGATCACAGAACATCCTTGCACACCCAGCATCTGTGTTTTGGCAGCCTTGTGCAGCGATGCTAAAGAAAGTGCTAGCCTTGGTACAGCAAGCCAGCAAGCATATTAAATCACCTTCTGGTTCACAAGTTCCTTTGCTAAACAATGACCACCCCCACTTGTTGTGACCAATTTCTACATCTATCACGCTCACTCAGGAATATATATGCCATAAGCCCCATCGCAGTGAATGGCCATGTGCTTACTTTCACCTACATGAGTAAACACACTAAGAATCAATGGGAATATTCATGCTTGCAAAGTTAAGGGTACATGTAACTGTTTACAGGATATTGGCATTAATTTTCAGCTATACAATATACAGATTGCAGTCCTGTATCATAAATGAAGGTCACTACTAAGAAATAGGAAATAATATCAAGGTATTTTCTGGGAGGTATAAAACAGAGCTAAAACACTTGGGGAAATGCAAAGTACTTCTCTCCTCCTGTTTAGAGGGAGGCTCTGCTCTTTGGGAGTATTGAGGAATGCATAAGCTGTAGGCCACAGAAGTGCGCCCCATGTATATTGAAGAATTAACATTGAATGCAATTATGCAGAACAGTAAGACTGAAGAATACTTCCATTGGCTCTCCAAACTGAACGCATTTTGATGGCACAGTTATATGCCAAATGAAGAGAAAATGTTTTCAAGTTTTTCAGCATCTGGAAATCTATATAAGCTACTTGATTTCATGAACAGTTGATATATGTTGGACACAGTAAAATTCTTCTTTATGTATGATTTAAGAATACAGATCTTAAGAGTGTTTCTTTTGTTTTCATTAATAGTATCTTGGGGAGGGTGATATCAACTCCTCCAACAAAACTAAGAAAACGTTGATAGTAGGTGTTAAAGGAAAAAAAATCATTATGGCCCAAGATTAAAGTGTTTAGGGAAATAGTGCACTTTTTATTCTATCTTGGAAATGTACAGAAATGCACAGAATGGTTATAATCCTTCCTACCTCCCTTCAAGTGTGATCTTTTAAACATTGAAAGCAAAGGTTTAGTCAATACATCGGACATTCTTACAAAAATATAACTTTTCAGACAACATGAGAAATAGACAAAAATGCCTTATCTTTCAGAACAAAACTATAATGCAACCCAGCTTCCACTGATTTTTATACTGCAAGTGGACCTAATTCAGCAACAGCCCCACACAACATTGTCAACCTGTGACAATACAACCAGGACTTACCCTACTGAAGTACACATACTTGCCTCAAAACGTTCAGTACTGATGCACATGAATCTAGATCGTACCCACATTTCTTTGCCTTCTAAAGCAACCTTTTTTTCTTCAAAAACCTAGTGGTTCCCATAAGGTTGAGGAGCATATGCCCACAAGAACCTCATTACACTCAATTCCTTGTGTTGTGTGTGGTGGGATGGAAAACCAGATTTAATTTTCATGCTGACAGAGTTCAAAGTGCCTCTATAACCTACTGTTAAATCCATAGGAAAATCTAAATTATCAATATGGCAGCAGCTAAGGAATTCCAGAGGTGAAAGGTCAAAGATTCTTCTGCAGAAGAGATTACAGCAAATGAAACTAGAGTGAATAAACAAAATTAAAGACTAGTTTTATTCCTTTGCAATGAAGGATTTGGAGTATTCTTTCAGAAGATTTTTTTCTTTTTTTAGTTAGTTATGCCCTTCTCTGCATGGAAGCACTGCAATGTTCATTTTTTAAAAAAATCAAAAACTCCTTCCATCCTAAAAAAGCACCATAGATAAAAATCTGGTGGAAAAACAAAAATAACCCAAAACCAACAAACTCCATGGACCACCCTTCAGGGATGAAATGCTAAAGATGTCTTTTTTAATCTATCAGTTTGTGAAGATCTACAAAAAGAAAAAATAAAAAGGATCACATTCTAAAGGTTCAGTGCATTCAGCAGCTACATAGTTTTGCTGCTTATTCATCTTTAAGTTGACTTTCAAAAATAACACCCTAGCTCATCAAAATATACATTTTCCATTTGCTTTTAAATTAAAATAATAATAAAAACATTTAAAGAATTCACAATCAATAGCATGACTAAGTTTCAGGATCATCTACAGCATATAATTTAAAGGTTCAAGATGACAATATGCAGCACGTGGCAGGCCTATATGCTCCATGCAGCATGTACATTTAGCATAATCTCAAATAAGCTTGATGTTCAGATGTCCGTTTGTTTCTTCCAAATAGTGTAGAATACCCATCTGGAGAAAATAAGAAGTTAAGGAAAAAAAACCAACCAAAATGTAACAACCCAAAGTTCATAGTACACAGTTAAAAAGGAAGTAGTTTTTTTCACTTACATTTCAATTCTGAAAACTTCTGGTACCTCATAAAGATGAGTTAGGTAAAAATCTCTAAAAGGAAATCTCCCAGGATCCTATTTTTGACTCAGAGGTTCAAAAGAGCATTCTGTTTGCACTGCAACTGAAATCCTTTGCAAACCCATGATTTCTAACTCCTGCTGCAGACTTTCAGGTGGTGCATTTTTGTGCATTGCAATCACTCAACAAACCATAAAAATACTTTGGGAAGAGAGATCAAAACTTTGATCAGGAGTTTACCCAGTTGGGATCTCTCTTGCTCATCTTCTCAATCATGAAGTAGCACAGAAAGAGACATCCAGCTACCTTATTTCTACTGTCTCTTAATTGCCTCCACAGGGGTTCTGTTGAACACTTACTTAATAGATGCCTCTAAATTTTGCCTAGGCTTTTCTCGAAAAGCTTCTGCAGTGTTTGCCTTTGGTACCTAAACAATTTTCAGAAAGCAGACCTTTATGTTGTCCAGACTGAGCTAGCAGCAAATACAGAGCAACTAGCAGCTGTGTCAGAGCTTTTTTTGCTGCTCCTCTGTGGGGAGACAGACCCAACTTCAGCAGAGTCATACACTACACTCGAACCACAGTTCTCTGAAGTACTTCTCACAGGACAGACAACAAGAGCTCTTGCCATGTTGAGCATATGAGAGCAGTCAGAGCTATATAATTCTACCTGCTTCCGGAGAAGCAGATGAGAGGATGAGACATTAATAGAACTTAGATTTCTAAGAGGTACAGCAACAGCTGCAGAGTAAGGCACAGATTTCTGGGATTTATAACTTTGTAAAAATCAGAGATACACATTCTTTTGTTTACACAGTGAGGTCACACATGCTCCAGATGGGAGCCTCCATGATCATCATAAAGTCTTGGTGGAGACTTCAGAGACACATATGCTTTCCTTGAAATAGAGCTAACTCATGTCAACAGCTACTTGAATTTCAGATGACTCCCACAGCAACACTGGTAAACACCAGAATTTCAAGTAACAATTACACACAATAACAATTCTTCAAGTAGGCAAAACAATTAACAATAAAAAGTGATAAGCCAGCTTAGTACTTTGGCTACAGTCAGGTACCCATGCAGATAACTTCTGGTCAGGCTACAGAAACGAACATTTGCATAAGTGAAAAGATTTGTTCAAATGGCTCAAGAGATTTCAGGCACTTAAACGAACGCCACAGATGCGTCACACTCTTCAGACAGAAATAAACCCCTCATTTTTAACTACCTGTCACAATTCTATAAACCATCACATCTTTCAGTCATCTAAGAAACACCATTTAGGTATAAACTTCCATTCAGATAAAGATTCCTGAGTATGTAAGTTTCAAGAAAAGCGTTAACCTGTACCTGAAATGCACTAAAAGGCTATCAGAAGTCCAAGGCCAAATTAAGTTAGAGTACATACTCTGGGCTATTCTGAAGTCATCAAGATGACTTCTCCTTTAAGATTCCTGTATGTATACCACTATAGCATTGTTAATTCATCCAGAAAAAGCAAACTAATAAAGTTTGCCCCATTTCCACAAGAACTATTCAAGTGCTGTTATACTTTAGTGGCCAGTTTTAACACATCTATTGCTAAAAATATTTTGTAACTGTTCACTTACTAAAAACATCTATTAAAAAAAAAAGAAATTAGCATTTCTACTTCATTAATTTAGAAACATTTTGCATACTTCCAAGTAAAAAAAATGCAGTAAGTATTTAGAAGTCTTTCTGAGGATGCATACTTCAAATCACATACATGTTGCATAAAAGTCTGGCAGTTGCAAAGGCAAAAATAACCAGTTTCTCCGAAACTGTAAGCTACAAGGGTAAATATCTTCACATCCTCTTTCATTCTTCCATTTTTGTCTTAAAAATGTTAAGATCAAATCTGAATCTCACTGGAGAGCTGACAATAATGAGAAACAGGAGGAGCTTGCTACAGTCAGTATGGAGTCCAGAACAGCAGGCTACACAGTAAACAGTATCAAGATTGGAGACAGAGAAGGCAAAATGAACACACAAAATAGAAGAAAGGCTGTGGCAATTTCACATACGTAATGCATTATGAATAAGCAGATCCTGGAAAGATCTCTCCTGTCAAGAAAGGGACAGTCACAGAAGGCATTACCCTGCAGAAACATTTCCTGGGAGATCACACAAACACTTGAGGCAAATACAGCCACCAGAACCACTGTATAGGAGATCAAAATGCCCCTCTAGAGCCAATGCCTTGAAGCTGAAACTTCCAGCTCCTTGTATAACTTGCCTGCCACCCACAGATTTTCAGTAATGCTAACTAGTAATGATTGTTAAGAATCACTTTCTTTTTCTTCCATTAAAAATATTCAGACTGAGCTATATGTATGTTCAATAGATCCAAGAACATTTAAAGACCTAGGTCATGCTAGTTAAGCATGTATTAAATTTGTCTGGGTGGGTTTTGGGGGCAGATGGGAGGAAAATAGCCTTGCTAGAACTCCCAGGCAGTATTACCCTCATCCTACAGTTTATCCTACATCACATAAATAATACACTTGGAACACTCGGAACACTCAAAAACATTAACAAAAACATAACCTGATCTTCAAAGGTGCTGCTCATTTCACAAGCTGTGAATTTATGGCACCTTTATAAAAACAATTCCTGCAATTATCCTCAAAATAAAACCACATTAGTTCATTTACTATGAAAAGAACATTAATAGTGCTTAAATTACAACTGCCTTCTTGCACTCAAGTTCATTACCTACAAGCAATTTAGGCTTGTTTGATTTATTAATACACACTCTCTCCACTCTTTTTCAGTTTGTAAGGATACAATTCCATGTACGAGGGAACACACACAGTTTCTTTTGAAAACTCCACAGGACAATAAAGCCTGCTAAGCTGTTCTTCATACAGAGTCAAGGCATCAGTCAGATTGATACAGTTTCCCTGAAGGAAAAAAAAAAAAAAAAAAAAAAAGAAAAAGAGAAAAGTCCCAGTTACAATCAAACAAATAAGCAAAATTGCAATTGAATATATACATTTTGACATTAATGTAAGGCTCCCACAAACTTCAAAACCAGATACATGCTGTTCTTAATATTTACAAGGCAAATTCTGAACAGCTTGTCTTCATTCTGCCTACAGCAAACAACAATTTGTATCTTTTCAAGAAAGGGTAAGTATAGGGGGAGATTATCTATCTTCTCATTAGCAGAAGCAACCATTACATTACAGACTCTAGTTAAAACAGACCACCATGTGTTGTTTACCTATAACATCTACTCAACAACCATTTTCTTTATGATTGCTTAAATATATCAGTAAACAGTATTACAACATCCAGATTTTCTCAATTATTTAACATTGTGTGGTTCTTACAGCATTTAAATGCACTATAAAAAACACTACAACCTATTCATTTTAAACAGATTCTTCCACAAAGCAATATGACAAAATCAATCAGATTATACAGAAGTTCTGTGGCTGCAGGGTACATTGTCTTGAGTGTATCATGCTTCTGAAAAGGAATTGATTCCTATGATACTTTTTTATCAGACCCTTGTTAGCTCATTTAAAAATATTACTATCTTTTTCTGAACAAAATAGAAATCAGTGCTTATTTTTCTCTAACAGTGCAACTATGAAATACAAGACACATTGAATTCATAACACTCCCAGACAAATTATTACCCAAATGAATCATTCTTGGAATGCAAACAAATCTCAAGGATTACAAATGGTGAGAAATTAATCCCCCCACCAAACAAAACCCAAACCTCCTCCTAATTACAAGCACAACTTTATCCAAAGCTAAGTATTAACAAGCAGAAGAGTTATTGCAACATACACCTGGGATGCCCATACAGAGAAAGCTTTAATTAGAAAGTGGCTATCCATAATGGGTTTGAAGATTTAGTGGTATCAGTTATTGCAACATACACCTGGGATGCCCATACAGAGAAAGCTTTAATTAGAAAGTGGCTATCCATAATGGGTTTGAAGATTTAGTGGTAACAGTGAGCCCACAGAATGCCAAACTGAACACACTACCCAAGCAAGTTTTTAACTAAAAAGCTTCCTGTCAAGTTTCTTGCCTACATAACTGAGTAGGCTAGCTGATACTTTACAAGTTATTTGGACATTAACTTAAAATATTAAAATAAAGATGAAAATAGTCACCACTGCATGGTCTACAAATTACTCAGGTGTTGTTTTCTACGTACTAGACACTGAGCAAAGACCCACCAAATATGAATATACTTTTGTTGTGGCACAGTACCAAGACAAGACATTCTGGGATTCTGCTCATGGGCAACAAAATGTCAGTGATCCTTGGCACACTGACAGCCAGATGAATTGTGGTCTTCTACCTCCACCACTTTCACAAGGAACCTTCAGCTCAACCTATGGGCCCCAAACACAATTCCCAACCATGCTGCACACTACACATGAACAGCAAGTTTTGTGACGATGATGAATCCACACAGCATGTACATATCCAGTCATATGTGAGGCAGGATGAGACATCTTCAGGAGACATGCATCCCCATTCTTCTGTAATGGTTGGGTTTACTAGCTTGTAGTATAAATGCCTTTTTCCTTGACCTGTCACAAAGCCTACTTTCTTTTTCTGATTTCTTATCAGTAGAAACAGAAGCATTAACTAGCATTTCTCTAATTACTTTCAGCTTCAAAATCCTTAGCTTTCCCACACATTTTAACCACTTCTAGTGGAGGAACAACGTTTACCACAGAAGACAAAAACAGGGAACACAGTTCTTAGTAACCTAGTAGACAAGTCAGTGTCCCACAAAATGATGGCAAGAGACCCAAGGCACAAAAGTTTGCTATTTGTCTCAGATGACAAGAACATTAGTCGTGATATGAGGATATGCATAAGACCAAAAGAAGTCTAGTTAAAACAAAAAACAAAAAAAAAAAAAGAGGAAGAAATAGTCATTTACTAATACAGCCAACTTCTTGGTCTCTAGATGACTCTTTCTGTTCGTGACAGGACAAGCCAAAAGCCTTCTAGCATAAGCACTTCCGAGCGGAGTACTGCTTCTGATCTCTACAAGCCCTGAACTCTGCAAGAGAGACAAGAACACAAAGCCTAAAGCAACAGACTCAACCCATGGAACAGCAGGGTCTTCTCTCTGCACCGAATGACTTCTGGAAATGTTTGCGCATGCACACACATAGAAGTTGGGGCTTTTGTTGTTATTGTGTGCCCTCCCCCTCCATTTACTGAGTGAGGTTTCTTGTCCCTTCCTGCCCTTAGATGAAGTGTGTAACTGGCATCTGACTGTGAAAGAATGCATAAGGTTCAACTAAGAAAAAGGAGCTGGAGCCAATTAAAAACTATAGCTCTCTTACAGTCACAGCTTATTCAATATTCACAACTCAAAGAATCATAGAATAGTTAGGGTTGGAAAGGACCTTAAGATCATCTAGTTCCAACCCCCTGCCATGAGCAGGGACACCACACACTAAACTATGTCACCCAAGGCTCTGTCCAGCCTGGTCTTGAACACCACCAGGGTTGTAGCATTCACAACTTCCTTGGGCAACCCATTCCAGTGCATCACCACCCTCCCAGTAAAAAACTTCTTCCTTATACCTAATCTAAACTTCCCCTGTTTAAGTTTGAAGCCATTACCCCTTGTCCTACCACTATAGTCCCTAACGAAGAGTCCCTCCCCAGCATCCCTGTAGGCCCCCTTCAGGTACAGGAAGGCTGCTATGAGGTCTCCACGCAGCCTTCTCTTCTCCAGGCCGAACAGCCCCAACTTTCTCAGCCTGTCTTCACACGGGAGGTGCTCCAGCCCTCTTATCATCCTCATGGCCCTCCTCTGGACTTGCTCCAACAGCTCCATGTCCTTTTTATGTTGAGGACACCAGAACTGGACACAATACTCCAAGTGAGGCCTCACAAGAGCAGAGTATAGGGGCAGGATCACCTCCTTTGACCTGCTGGTCACGCTTCTTTTGATGCGGCCCAGGATATGGTTGGCTGTAACAGATCCCCACAGTAGTGTCCCCCATTGCTGTTCTTCCTTTGACCCTGATCCATAAGCTCTCTGTTGACCTGTTAAGACTTCTGACTTGAAATGAAAGTCCCATAGGACCAAAGGAACAAAGGATTTATTTAACACTTCCAAAATGTCTGCAGTACCTATGTTTCACATACGTGCACTGCTCTGCTAACACGCTGCACGAAGCCTTCAGCTCCAAGAGAAGGGTCTTTAAGAAAGCTGCGTTTTACTGTTTAACTTCTGCTTTTCGGTGCTCTCAGGTTTTTAAAAATAGCCTTAAAATAATTAAGCGCACACAACTGAAAGTTAATTTTCACAAAGCAAGGAACTAAGATGAGTCTGGCCAACAAATACTACCTGTGCTCTTAAAAAGAATGTACAACATGTAGAGACATTTGAAATCAGTATGTCTAAACAGCTCCATCTACACTTTCTTTCATGTAACATCAGATGATAACTAGAAACAAAGTGTATAATACACATTTTGACTTCAGTATTTAAACTATTTTTCCCCAGCTTATCAGTAGGATTTTTTTCCCCACATTGCATTTCTATTTCTAGAGGAAGTGAGAAGAGACTTTATTATTGTTTTTGAATTTTTTGCGTTGTCCTCAAGTTTTCACAAGTGGAAAACTCCTATACACAGCATCTTTTAAAACAAATCATATCCTTGAAAGCTCTCTCTCAAAAGAACTTGCATAGAACATGCCTTTGATTATCATTTTGGTCACATTTCAAAGGTGTACTTGTTTATTTGTTAAAGGAAGATGGTATGCTTTATATTTAATATATCACAGTTGGGTTTGGGTATCAGAAACAAAAGTGGTTTGTAAGAAGGTAAGAGATGAACACTAACTGAGCACAACTGCACAAAACACAATGCACAGACTGCTGTAGTACTTGTTTAGTAACCTGTTATTATCCAGGGGACTATAGCAGTTATTTGGTTCAGCCGCCCTTTACCAAACATATAATTTTGTTTCAACATCAGACTGAATGCAAAAGAAAACTAAAAAACAACCTGTGTGTGTAATTTGAGTCATAAATAGAAAACACTGCTAGGTAATTTATGGTGCATACCACTATTACAGAGGAAGTTTAATGGGATACACAATGAGATAAAAGTATCTACAGTTTCCCAGCCTATCACTTCAGTGTTTCAGCCTTTTTCCTATTTCCAGCAACAGACAAATCACTGTAGAGTGGAAAACTAATTACTGGAACAATGAACATGCCAATAAGCAATTTTTACTTTTCAAACACATAACTCCCCAAACTCCAAATCAAGATTTTACCTAAACGTACCTACAGTGTTGATAACCATGTCAATCACACACAGATGTTCTTGTATCACTGAAATATGACACAGGGAACCAAGCCCAGAATGCAACACAGTGATCAGTCACATAACCAATGTTTATTTTAACGCCTCCCACCTCATGAAAATAGCCATGTGATAGAGCAATAGAATCACAGAATGGTTTGGGTTGGAAGGGACCTTGAAGATCATCTAGTTCCAACCCCCCTGCCATGGGCAGGGACACCTTCCACTACACCAGGTTGCCCAAAGCCCTGTCCAACCTGGCTTTGAACACTGCCATGCATGGGGCAGCCACAGCTTCTCAGGGCAGCCTGTGCCAGTGTCTCACCACTCTCACATGGAAGAATTTCTTCCTAGTATCCAATCTGAACTTACCCTCTTTCAGTTTACAGCCATTCCCCCTAACTTGCCACTACATGCCCATGTAAAAAGTCCCTCTCCAAATTTCTTCTAGGCCCCTTTAGGTACTGGAAAGCTGCTATAAGGTGTCCCTGAAGCCTTCTCTTATCCAGGCTGAACAAGCCCAACTCTTCTCAGCCTGTCTTCATAGAAGAGGTGCTCCAGCCCTCTTACCTTCATGGCTCTCTTCTGGACTTGCTTGAGCAGCTCCACATCCCTCTTGCATTGGGGGCCCTGAAAGCTGGATGCAGTACTCCAGGTAGGGTCTCACAAGAGCAGAGGGAAGGATCACACCTCTCAAACAATATGTGTTTTGTTCTAAACAGCCACTGTATACTCAAACAGTAACTAATATTGATTAGTGTTTAGTAAGGTTTAAAACTAATGACTCACCACTTTTTCAAAGGGAAATAAGCAAAATCAGACTTTTTTCTCCCACACTGTTCAGTCAATTTTCAACATACACAAAACCCCTACCAAACTCCTCTGCCTGCCTCCCCTTAATCTTTGTTCCATGTCAAGCATCTTGACAGATAAGAAATAGGGGAATGCTGAATTTCTTCTTTTTTTCCCTCCTTAACAAGCATGTCTCTCTCACAGAAGTATCTGAGGTAGTTTTAAATTTTGAGATTTGTCAGTCTGTACTTATAAGACCTTGTTTATATGATCAGTCAATTTAAAACTAAACTCTCAGTAACACAAGGAAATGAAAAGTTTGTCCCTTAGAGTCCCAAACTGCCAAGAGCTCTCACAGGGACCTGTATCCATTCTTCTATTCTTCTTCTACACTGCAGTCAAGGAGAACCCTGCTCCCTCTTAGGAAGTAAGTGCTAATTAGAAAACCCACGCAGCAGCCAAAAATGGGAGTGTAACGATGGAGCAACATCAGAGTGGTCTGGACATTCAGAGGGCAGGGCCATGCTGTATTAGAGGGCAGCCAGGAAGTGACAGCTTGGTGAAGGGCCGCATGTGCCTGTGGGAGACATCTGATCTCTTGCACCAGTGGTTAGTGCTGTTTACTGGAACCCAAACCCATGAGTGGTCTGAGACTGTTTCTAGCCTGCCTGGGTTGGATGACCCAGACTAGGAAGGAGCAAATTCCTGTTCAGAAGTATTTTTAAAGGTTCCATTTCATAAACAGGCTAAAAATGATAGCCTGCTCAACCTCAAAGGATTAGATCAGCAGAGCACAAACTTAGCATAGAAAAAGGCATTTTCCTAGCTACACATAATCCAGTGACAGGGACAACATTACCATTGGACTCTGCAGCTTATAAAGCATAGTTTCACAGCTGTTGGGACAATCCTCATGTTCTACTTTGAAGGTGCAGAACTGTGATGGTTCAGCAAAAAGCCACAAACGTATCACACCAGTATCTAAGATTACACACGCTCTACTAAAGTTTAAAAAAAATCACTTGGGCAATCTAAAGTTCATACTGGCTTTTAGAAGGTCCAACACTTAATGTATTCAGAAACAAGTCCGACAGAGTTGAAATAGGACTTTGGGATACATCAAGTTCTTACATCCTCACTGACTCCCACTTTTCTTCCCACTGTGATGGTTGGGAACCTGTAACTGCCTCCCCTTGGAGAAGGTAACACTGACCACCCCTCCCTCCCCCCCCGTCCCAATATACCTAAGCACAGACTCATAGCAGCAAAGAATGAGATCCATAAAACTGCCCTTTCTATCTTTCCAATGGTGAAACAAGTAAAAAGTCCCTCCTTCATCCTAAAATTGGCGACATATGTTCTTGCATCCCGTAGGAATACGAACAAAGAGTCTGAGAAACCTTTCACAGGCAGAATCTCTCTATATTAAACTGCCGGTCAATATTAGTTACCAGTCTCCACCTAGTGGTGAAAGAATATTCTGCATTAGCATTCAGAGACTGCTTAGAGGTTCACTATGGCATCCCGAGGGAACAAGGAACAACCAGCCTTGTCAGAGTAACATACCAAAAAAATAATTATTTTTACAATCTCAGATAAATTATATCCATCTAGAGTTACACAGCTCTAAACCCTGCCTGCTGTCAATTCATGTGCTAAAGAGAACATTTTCCAAAACTTGTGCAGAGCTCAAAAGAAGAGGCAAAGAGCATTTTCATTTATTTTTCCCCAGAAGTAGCATTTAGAATCTCAGGCAGCCATACAGCATGTGAAAGGCTGGCATTCTGTGAACAGAAATCCACTTTTGGGTAAAGCATTTCTTGAGCACTGAAATAAATTACATTCTCACATGATGCACAAGGCAACCCCGCAAGCACAACTATCAGAGGACAGGCTACAAACTACACAAGTTTCAAGTATCTACACAACATAATGCCAAGGCAGAAGCAGCAACTGTAGCTACTTGGCAGCAACCAGCAGAACTCTTTTGCAGCTTCTCTCCTGTGAGACATTTCCCCATCACCACAAAGGTCAGGCTCTAACAAACAGGTGGACATTTCCCCAGTTGTTTTCCTTGATGACATTTAATATATTTTACACTTCAAGAAAGCTGGGGGGGAGGGACAGGACAGTTGGAACAAAAGTAACTTAAATTTCCAGTCTTAACACACAGAGGTAAAAACCCCTGCCATGTAACACATCAGAGAATTCAAAACCATTTATGAGTTCCCAGTGTGTGACTAAACTCAACTATTAAAGTCTGTAGCAGTCATGTTTCAACTTCTGTTTAACCCAACCCTCTGGATATTCAGTTTCAACTAGTTTAATGAAAAACTTAAAATCAGCTGTCTATAACTTCTTTTATTTAAAGCACCCCCAAAAGTTTGTTTTTCTTGTTATCAGACTCATGAGTTTTCTGAGGGTTTTTCTCTTTGTTTTTGTTTTCAAATCAGGTCCAACTGGGAAGCAGCTACAATAACCAAATGGGCTGGATAGTGTATCAGTAGATATATAAAAAACTTCTATCTGTTTGCCCCTATATTAATTTTGCCTTTTCAGCACCCTCAGGAAGACAAAGGAGCCAGAGCGCACTACCTTTTGTACTCCAGCCCTTTCACTGGCTACCAGTTAGCCACAACTCCAAATTCATGCCACTTCAATTTTAATACTGTTTCTTTTCCATCCTGCCATGTTCCACCTTGTTGCTTTGGGACTGTGAAACTGATAGTGCACAGTTTCAGAATGGCTTAAACCAGCCAAGGCCAGTTCTACTGCTACCCCTTCTTCCTGTGCAAGCAGAGATGCTGATGAGTTGAGTCATGTCTTCCCACCAGGACAGGACAGGCAGCAGAGCTGCACCAGTCTGAACCTCTGCTGGTTTAAAAGCTGAGATTGAACAACCTCCCTGTACCCTGGCTGCACCACAGCCATCACTCCAGGTTTCAGCACAAGCTTCTTCCCAGAAAAAGAGTCCTTCTGCAAAGTCTGACAGACACTGTTCTACAGACATACGTTTACGTATGTTCTAATAAAGTCAGCTAGTCTCACTGTGTATGTTACAAATATGACAAGGACAAAATCTTATTTATGACTATATAAAATACTTCACAAAATGTCAAGTGTTGTAACAACCATTCAAATGTTCAAAATCTGTTTTGCAGAAGCCAAACCAGTGACTTGCATTAGGAGTGGACAGCAAGCAAAAAGAGAGTACTTACTCCCAAATGACTAATTTTCTCATCCCATTGCACCTATTTCAAATTCTTACACCTTTATGGCTAACAAATTTTCATGTCTTACACTCTACAACCAGAGACATTAGCTTAAAACCCATGTAGCTGTTCATAAAGTACATCTATCCTCCTTTTCCAAGATTTGCTTACAGCTAAAATATTCTGTAGTATGCCTAGCCGCTTCTTGAAATTATGCTTTTCAATTCAAAGCCGTAAGTGCTGCAAATTCAGCTGAAATGGTGAGAAGACAAGTCAGTCAGACAAAGTCCAAATTTCATGCAATAATCCCTAATGAGTGGCTAGAAGTAGCAAGCCAGCTAGTAGCTTTTTTTATATATACCTGAAAAACGCAGATTGTAAGAAAGTATTGCTGTGTATGTACTACATCCAGGTTCATACCTGTGTGAAGTATTTTCCATCTTGTTTCAGGACCTTCATTGAGAGGTCAAGAATCAACCGCAGAAATTCCCATGTGGAATCTGCAAGAGTATATTTAAAACAGAGCAGCACATTACTGGCTTGTTCCCTATTACATATTCAAGACTTGCAACCTATCTACTGTTTAAAAAGTAGCTATTCTGTAACTTAAAAAAAAAAAAAACCAAAACAACACTTAAAATCAATAACCCCCCCCCACAACCTATACACAACAGCAATGACGGCAGAAGTACATGGTTTTCTTCACAGTAATTTTCCAGATGCTTCCAAATTTACTGGAGCATGAACTTCCCAAATACTTTCCCAAGAGTTACATGAGTTCATATTATTATACATGAGCTTAAAAAAGTCCTAGTCACTTGCTAATTTTTTCCTAACATTCAAGAAAAATTCATGACAAATAGATGTGTTACTATCATTCTTTGCCTCTCAGATCTGCTATTGAATAAGGCAAGAGTAGAGGGTTTTTGCTGCAAGCTGCCAACTATCACACAGCAAAAGGCCAGAAACATGGAAAATCCTCAAAGTTTAGGAAAATAAATTAGAAGATTAACCTTCTTCTGGAGATGTGGAGATTGGAACAGCAGTCAGATCATTAATTACATAATCAAACATCCTTCCTTCTTTGGCATACCTCTTCAATACGGGAATACAGTCTTCAATCAGAACCTGCAAGCATGAAATACTGTAGGTAGTCCTCTAAATACCCTAACACCAACAAGTTAAAAGGAACAAATGTAGATTCACAGGAATTAAGAGGAGGGGGAAAGTACAAAGTTAAATAATGCATTTAATTTTAGGCTCAATTTTCAACTTCTTATATAAAAAAGGAATAACAGTTATAGGAATTACAACAATGACAAGAGTGGCAATAAAGGACTGGCTTTCCTAGCTCTGTCACTGATTGCTGGGTGACCACTGTTCTATCTACCAAATGGTAACAACAATTAATAGCCCCCAACAAAAAAAAAAAAAAACCAAACAAAAAAAAAAAAAAAAAAAAAAAAAAAAAAAGGTATTTGTATGAAGGGCCACATGCAAAGTACCATGTTAACTTCTTTGTTAATTTTTTGCGTGCCTTATTTTTAGCTTATATCTGTAAATTAGTATGAGCGCACCTTAAGGAGCAGTAATGAAAACAAAGAAAAGATTTCCTGTGAAGATGTCACCTGGACTAGTTTGTAGGGTCTGTCAGATAAAGCACTTAAAGACCTTAACTGCAGGGATGCATGCATTTTTTATTTTCAATATATTAGCAGTGTAATGGTAAGAGATTTCATCTGCAAATTAAAAATAACCTTTAAGTGTGTATGACAGATCCAGATACTCTCAACAGTAAAGGACAACTAACTTACACACATTTTTCTATCTTTACATCAGTTTAAGGAACAATGTTTAACACTGCATCCTTACTGCTATTTCCTTTTTATTTGTAAGCTATGGTAATAAACAGTCTCCCATTTCAAATTCCTTAAAAGCTATATACAATTCTTTTTTAAAGAATTTGAAAAGGGAGTTATAATATTTTGACATTAATACTTATTTCCAACACAAATTCCACTATTAAAATTTAGAAGTGTCATAACAAAGGAGGAAATCTTTCCCAGAATTAAGAAAAATCAGAAGACTTTTCCCCAAAACTTCACCATAGCAGGCTTCCAGGCTAGGTGCAACTGTATTTGAAGTATCACTTCTAATGAAAGAAAGCCAAAACATTACCTGATAGCACTCTCCATTCAGATTGTCTAAGACATCTCCGCATGTTTTACGCATGTATTTTTTACACCCGTCGATCACCATTTGGTCAATGTTTGAAGCTGGTTAAGGCATTCTACATTCCAGAAATAATACTGGTAACAGTTTCTATTTCTTCAGAAAAAAATTCTCAAAAAGATGACATTCAAAGGAATAAGGTGTAACTTGGTATAGATACTGCAATAGCCAACCTTATGTATTCGCCTCCAGATTCAGTTAGAGGCTTAGGAATGCTTATTTTTGTTTTTAACCAGTATTTCCGGTGCCTTAGGCTACCATTACTGTGAAAGCTTGAAATGTGAACAACATGATGATATACTTAAAAACCCCATAAAGCTAAACTAAGTAAAGACTTTAACCTACATTTGCAAACTAATTCTTTTTAGTTTCTAACAAGGGAATCCCAAAACCTAGGGTGATCAACATTCCATATGGCTAACAGTGGTTTACAGTACAAACTATGTGAACTACAGAATGTTGAAAACCTGGTTTATATCAGTATTTTTAAGACAGGGCAAGAGTCAGTTATTCTGTCACCAAGACAGTTCACCAAGTCCTGATGTTCCTTTTTTGCTTCTAGGGATTAATTTTTTTTTTACAGCATTCTTTAGAAAAACAGAAGAATCCAAGAAGGCAGAACTCAGCTGCAACTGCAGACTTGACAGCCCTGTCTTCTATTACCAGAGAAAATATCAGTCTGATGACATAAATGTGCCTTTCCAGTTCTATGTCAATTGCTATTCAAGAGTTATAGTATGGACTGGGAACTTGAAAGAAGGTGTTACATAATGATGTACAAATATGTAGTCGCTGGGTCTCTCTAAGCTGACAAAAAGAAATTTCATTTTAAATCCTATCTCCTCATGCAAATCAGAACCTGACGGTTAACTGTGCTCAATGCTAGGACATCTGCAGAAAACACAGGCTGAAAACACTGAAATCAATGATCAGTCATTTGTCAAAGGATATCTCTACCATAGTAACCATCTTTGGCTTCAGTTTGACTATCTCGTATAGTATACCTCCATCACCACCTCCTAGGATTAGCACTTCTTTCCCAGTGTAGTCTTCCTTTCCGCTGCCCATTATGGCTTGTGTATATGCCAGGTCACTCTCTGCCAGATCTGAATGGAAGGAAGAGAAAAGAGTTGGACAGAAACATTGCATCTTTAATTCTCATTAACTGGTACTAATCCAAAGGTGATATAATAAAGACAAAAGCAATAGCACCTACAGAAACAACCCAGCTCTCAGAGACAGTCCAGGTAATGGGAGGCTGGTGATTTAGCAAAACTAGTGAGATCCTCCTCAGAATCCCACACAGGATTAATATTGCCAGTAATGGCTACCTCACATTAGGAAGTACTGTGTGGCAAGAGAAAGAAAGTCGTAGAGCAAAACTGTCAGCATTTCAGACTTCCGTCCACACTTGACACTTCACGTGAGTTTTTACCTCAGACTAGCACTGCAAGAAACAAATCACGGTATTTTTGAAAGCACATTCTGGACCCCAACTAAAAAGTGCAACCTAGGTGCACCTCAGTAAATCCCTGCACAGAAGCATGACTTAACATGTAACTGCTGAAAGGCCCTGAAGCATGCTTTCTAGTTGACTTACACTTCGTTAGCTCCAAAGCAGGCAATAATGTTCCCAAGCTGTAATAACACATCTGAGCTACAAGGGCAAAGCTTTGTGCAGTAGCACATCATGGCATATCCTATCACTCTTGCTGGCAATCAGCACTTAGTTTCTAAGTGCGCAGTAACTAAATGACACAACGCAGTGTTTTTAAATCCCATGGAACGTAAATAAATAATGGCATACTTCCCTTCCTACGAGGAACACTACAAAACATGCAAATACAACTTCATCTGCACAGGAAACTGTTAAAAGTTTCTGGCTAGAATGTTGCATAGTATGGAGTATGGAAGTATGGAATACCTAGTTGGTGATTTCAAACACAATTCTAACTGAACTAGAAAATACCTTGTTAATGAAATTCAGTAACAACACTTTCCAGATGCCATCTGCACAGAAACCCCCCTGACACTTGCAGAAAGCTAAATGAACAGTTAGAGGTATTTCTGGCAATTTTAAAAAGCTATAGTCAAATTTCTTAATTACTCTGCCATTAGATTGAAATCAGGTATTCTATCCCTAGACAGCAACATGCCTCATTTACATCAGTCAGTACTTTTCAACTTAAGTACTGAGAGATTTTACAAAGCATACCCCTGCTTGATGACTAGATTTTCTAATAAACTGCGTTCTTATCCAGCTCAAAAGAACAGTAGCTTCTCCCAAGTACACTTTAAAAATTACAAAGCTGGGCACACAGAGAGTACCACATATACAGACATACCCATAAAGTTGAGTTATTCTTCTCACTAACCTAAGAGTTTAACTGAGCATTTTGAAGGAGACAGAATCAGATGATACTCACCTACAAGGCAGCTAAATACAGGTGGTTGGAACTAGATGATCTCAAGGTCCTTTCCAACCGTAACTATTCTATGATTCTATGAATGTAGCTTTCAGCATCAGAACCATGACCCTTAGCAATCTATGAGAACTGTCCCATAGTGAGATAGAAAACAACACTTGCTACATTTTCACAAAAAAGATCCTGAAATGAGATGATACATACTGACATCCCCACTGAGGATGAGAATATTCCCGAACTGTTTTGAATGCAGGATTTTAATATTTTGAAAGGGTGAATCTTCATCATAAACAACTTCATCTATGTCATACTCCACCAGGCGCCCATCAGCTGTGGGCCAGTATCTATCGATGACACCTCCCCTCAAAATGGCTGGCAACCTAGAAAGAAATAATAAGTATCACAAAACATTCCCTCTTAACATACCGTGGCTTCACCATATTAAATAAATACTTAGAAGAATGATCTAAGAAAACTTGCAAGATTTAACACTCAACATATAAGAACACTATCAGCCATATGTTAAATATACATAACTTGCTACAGCACTGATGAAATATTATGTGGTTCTTCTTTATGTACAACTTCTACAACATGCACATGATTCTCTCCACCCTTAGAGAGGGTATTTATTTACATAACGTGGCTAGAAATAGATAAAATACAAAAGCAGAATTCAGACCAAAAAACATGACAAAACCTCTTCCCATCTTCAGCTCAGCTAAGAACACCATTTCCTTGGGATTAGTGGACCTCACCCTCTTAAAGTTATACTGAGAGACATTTTAAATACATACACAAACACAAAAAGTGAATTATTATAGTGTTTCAAACCAAGCTGGGTCACCCTGAAGTTTGTAAGCACAAACCCTGGTATCAGCTGACAGTTTGTGCTACTTTTAAAAAGTGGTTCAAGCACCTGCACAGACTGTTTTGGTTTTGTTGTTGGTTTGGTTTTTAAATTCTATATAGAGAAATCTTTTTCCAAATCACTATTTCACCTGTAAACAAACTATATTTGAAGTAGCAGTGAATGACCAAAATGATCACATTCCATTTCAAGCAAAATGTGCAGGCACAGAGTTAATCAGATTTCCCACACACACTTTAGAAAGTTAAAAGCTTTCTTTCTCCACCCAGGAGGGTGTAGCACAAGATGGGACGTAGACAAGAGGTTTTTAAATTCACTAGTGATTCTCAGTAAACGTTTCAGAACTACCTCCTACCCTCAGTGAGCCGCCAGATGGCAGCACAAAGTGAGAACAAAACCATCTATTCACTACACCAAAACTACTAAAAGGCAGAACTTTCCCAGCAGCATCAATTCTAGTGCAACTGCATGTGTAAAACTAACACCAGAAGGATGCAAAGACATCTACTTTAAGTTGAGGGGTGTGTGACAAGATGCATACCAGATCCACTGTTGTAGGAGGTTCATCTTCCTACACCAAGGCAACCAAGTTTACCCGGATTACTTCAGGCAGACTTTTTCCTGATTCATTTTTAACAAGTTCCTATCATAGGGATTCCACAAACTCTCAATATTATATTTCAGTATTAAAATACCCTCACAGAGAGTGCGCTTCTCCCTGATATACACATACATTGGCAGACTGTGCATCAGGTGAGTATTTACCAGAACAAAACGGGACAACTACCTTTCTTTTATACACAACTGTTACACACAAAAAACACATTCAAGGTGTAATATAACTTTTCAAACCATTACCACTTCGCTTGTGGCCTTGTATAGCCTTCAGATAACCTTCTAATGTAGTACTGCTTAGCTGTTTTCCCATTTTGTAGTTTGGTCCTTGGCTTTAGACTCTTGTTGATTTTTACATCGCTTTTTACTTTTCTTTCCATTTCTGTGTTCTTTAAAGCACCTGCTGCACCTTCCAGCAAGCACATGCCTGCAGTAAGTGCTCTTTGGCTTTGAGGTGCCAGTCACTGCCAGTTGCCAGGAAGACACCAACATGAACTGTGTTCTTAGATCCCTGGGGAACTTCAGCACAAATGAATGCTGTTTCAGGAGCAGGCAACAAACCACAATCAGCATCCCTATAGTTTAATGTACAACCTTGTACTCAAAGTCAACCAAAATGACAGAAGGCTTGCAAAGCCTCCCTCCTTCAGTTATATTAAAACATTGCTATCTTCTTGGCAGGGCCCTAAAGCACAGAGGTTCCCCTGGGTTTTTTGCCACATGTGCCCAAGGCCAGCACCATGAGCTACAGCAGGGACAGAGCTGTCAGAGAAAGAGCTGTGGGAAACCTTAACAGGGAAGGGCCTTCTCCATGGGCCTGAGCTTTATTAGCTCCAGGCCCTTGGTCCCTGGCCAAGCTACAGTGCAGCTCTGTCCAGAACTGCCCAAGTCTTTTGCCAACCCTTGACACCTAGCTCAGTCTCAGAGCTGTCTCAATACTACAGCCCAGCCTGGCAACCAGAGGGCTGGGACTGACCCTGGTCACTCTCACCAGCTCTGCTTGCCTTGTCCTCAAGCTATGGGATGTGGCCCAACAGGTACAGTTCATGCCCCCTGAAAGCCTTGCTCCCCAGCCCTTCCAGAGTAGTATGCTCTCACATCCTGATTCCATTTTCTCCCACCATTTCATGCAACCATTGCAGCAAATTGAAGAAATAATCCTTGTCCAAGGTAAAAATACTTAAGATGAAGCTTAGCAATATGAAAAACCTCACATGATCTTCAATTCTTCAATAAAACAATTTTAAAATATTGGGGGGAAAACCACATATGCATGAATCCATACTCCAGGCTATTCACTGCAGTACAGTAAAGCACAATTTGTTTATTATCTTTAGCAACTATGCAGATGAGCCACATGTAGAAGCAGATATCTGAACTTACCGTTTCACCCTTTTTATGTTACCATGAAACAGTTCTTTCATTCTCTCTTCTACTTTGTTTAGAAGCTGGGGGGGGAAAAAAAAAAAAGCCAAACAAGAGGTGGAATTTATAGGCAATTATTTGATGTAAAGTATCTGTTAAATTAGGCTACTTGGAAGGCAATAAATAGGAGCACCTATTGAAAGACTTCAAAACGTAACATTAGTGTCCTAAGAATAACTAGCTGGTCACCTTAGCCTTCTTACTAGCAAGAATGTGCATATTGTAGCAGCTGTCATCACCGCATTTAGTTGTCTTCCAGGATAACATAGCCAGATCTTTCAGGCACAGCCAAACAAGGAACATGAGTACCCTCTAAGTTTCATTCCTGCCAAAGCCTATTCCCCTGCAATATCCAGTTTCTGGAGCCTTCATATCAGGGAAGATGAAATTATTTTTCTCCATTGGGAAGAAGTTAGCATATAAAGGCTCCCAATTTATGAGATTAGAGAAGGGGGGAAAAAAAAAAAAAAAAAAAAAAAAATCCATTTCACCAGGTTGCAGGTTGAGGATCACTTCTCCCTTACTGCCCTGGGTACCTGAAGAGACCTGAGCCCTAGCCAAGGCTGCTATGTCTTTACAACTATTACAGCAAACAACATGAGGCCTGGGACATGCAAAATAGAAAGAGTGCACTCATATGTATGCATCTACTAGATGTAGCAAGGATGAAATTCCTTACAATAAGGGTGGTAAAATACTGGAACACGTTGCCCAGAGAGGTGGTGAATGCTCCATCCCTGGAGACATTCAAGGCCAGGCTGGATGTGGTTCCGGGCAACCTGATCTAGTTGAAGATATCCCTGCACAGCGAAGGGGGGTTGGACTAGATGACCTCTGAAGGTCCCTCCCAACCCAAACTATGATTCTATACTCATCTGTATGCACTCAGGTTTTAATTAACTTTTAAATATCAAAGTCTTCAACCAAGACACACAGACATACTTTGATATACCTGAAGAAGGTATATCAAGGGGCTCCCCATGCAGTTTGAGAAACCTAGTAAGATAAGCATCGCTCATACCTGATCAACTTCCTCTCTTCCTTTTGCATGATCACTGTAGCTCTGCAGATCCACCAACACTAATCCATGAGGGTGAATTCTCAAATTGGCAAAACTACAAAATAAAAAGATATAATGAGTTTATTATTAAAACTTAGATGAGCAAAGAAAGACTGAAATCGGTTATATTAAATTCAGAATGCATTTTTCTTTTTCCAGCCATCTGTAACTGTTGGTAGTGCCAGCTCCAGTCTTCTTCTACAAGTCACTAAGCAGCAAACAAAGTTGAAAAAGCATACCAGTCACTACATAACTAATAAAATCAGCCGGCAGCAAGGCAATAAAACAGGGTGTTTCAACCAGAACAACTCTTGTACAAGGGGAAAACATACTGCCTACTGGTCTCAGCTCTTTAAATAAGGCTACTCAGTTGTGTTGGTTTTGATTTTTAACTGAAATCAATCCTCATGAAAACAACTGAACATTTTCCTTCCCTCTACCTTCCTTCTCACTCCTTGGCATTTTGTTTGTTTTTAACTTTATAGCCACTATACACAGACACAGTGTAAACATTCAAAGCTGAATAAAATTTCTAAGTGAGAAACAGTGTCCTGGAGCAAACCATGGCTTTGACTGGCAAAAAAATTAGAGAAGCAAACTTGCATTGATGAATACAGATGCAAGATACACAAAACTCCTACTATATATTGTATTACAGGAACATTTAAAGACTAAAGAGCATGGCTTCACCATGCGAGGTGTTGGCTGGACAAATAGAGGACCTTCAAGAACTTGCAACAAACAAAACAAAAGATAAGGACAAGGAGGAAGAACACAAAATACAATGAGTAGCAGAGGTGACATTCTTTCCATTCTAGGGAGGGGAGAAAACAATAAGAAACAGAAAGGCTACAAGGGGATTACATAGATGGATGAGAGGGGAAGTATACACTGAAAGAGGGGGGCAGAGGGAATAGGAACAGCTGAGCAAAGCAAGCAGGGTATTCAGGGATGGAAATTCCTTAGTACAACACAGAGAAACTGCAGGTAAAGTTGTATACAGTTCTCTGAATGCCTCTTTCTTTGCTTGTCTGCTTTTATCACCCCACTCAGCCTCAAAGGCAAACCACAAACCAGCTCCTGTTAAGGCAAAAAGTTTAGGTGACCTCTTATCTCCCCACCACTGCCACTTTCCTGTGTCCCTTCTAGAGCTCCCTGACTGAACTGTCAGTCTCAATATAAACACCACCTTTCCCATGGTGGTTGAACTTTGACCAGCAGACACCCTTAGCTGCAGCCAGAGAGAAAATCCTAAATATCCTGGGTTATCTGAAAATTATAATTTTCGGTAACTAAAATGGTCAAATTGTGAAACTGACTGAAGCGATTCAAGAATAAACACTCCTGCTGGCTTTCGTCAGCAGTGATGTGTTTAGCAGTTGACAGAGAAGCTAGAGTGTCACCCTCTTCTCTATGTAAGATGAGTTGGAAGTCTAGGGCTCTCCAGAAGACTTTACACATGGATCTTGCATTAAGGAAGAAAGATTCTTCTAACACGACACCCTCAGGAACACCGTGTTTTGTTTCCCTCTCCCCAGTACCTGCACATTGCCACGAAGTTACCCTCCCCACACCTACACAGCGACTGTCCACTAGGTGTCCTCCCGACAACTGTTTTTGATTAGGGACTACAGAAAGTCTGCTCCCGGTAGGCATTAAGAGAAGCCACAGAATAGCCTTAAAATGTGCATTCTCCCCGCACCAGGAAATTAGTCCTGCATAAAACAAAACACAGTGTTTTACCCTGATGAAAGGATGAACAGAGAATAGTCAAGAAATAAACAACGATGCTTTTTTCTGTCCTTTTATTTTTTCTTTTTAACTACCACTTGAATTGCTATCACTTAAGAAACCAGGTTTGTCAGTTAATTAAAAGAATTAAAGACATTTCCAAGGCAGCTTTCTCTCATACAAGCTATATAAGAAAGTGTTTAGGGAGAATCAGCACATTCATTCTACTGTACTCCTGACAAAACCAAAGTAAAAGAGGAAGCTCTTCTGAACTTCAGCAGATAAACACTTTACCCGCACCTTTCAGGATACTGCACCCCACTTGCTGGTTACTGACACAGTTCAGTACTTTTGATACATGGGCCACTTCATACTTTGCATAGTGACCTCAATCTTACAGCTAAAGGTGATGTTCCCAGCAGTACTAATAAAACACAACTAGGACCATTAAAAAAATAATAATAAAAAGGCATACTCCCAGTCTCCCTCCGATCTCTATGGGGCTTCACAGGTTCTCTCTGAACTTACAACCCCTTGAACCAAAGGAACTCAAACTGTGCGCTTGCCCTAGAGTCTCTTGGCACTCAGCACAGAGGGAATGGCTACTGCACAGGACAGCTCTGGAGAAAGTCCTACCAGGATTTTGTTCATGTGACTTTCATGTCAGCAAAGGTTTGCTTTGTACTGTGCCTAACACGAAAGGAAAATAAAATAGCCAAGCATAAGCACAGGAACAAAGAGCATTATCATAAGACTCCAGGAGATATCTTTAGGGCTTGGGTTTTTTTTTCCTCTCTCTTATTAAAGGAGAGGAAGACAAAAGAGCAGAGCTCATTAGATGGAAACATGGGTCCTTCCATCAGGTTTTGGACATAACCATGCACAGTGAAAAGGGATGTTTCTAGTGAATTCCACAGTCCTACTACAGGCCCTCAGAGCTGAGGCACTATAGACAGAAATGAGTATTTGCAGTTCATTAGACATCACTGTGAACTTTCAAGTTCTCCAGTATCTGGCACAGTGCCAGAAATATTTGCACTGTTAGAAAAACTTCTTATCAGTTTATTCTTGTATTCCAGGAGTTGCTGTTAACACAAATAAACAACAGATTGTCCCATGAGTTGAGCTCTTTTAAATTCCTTTCCTAACAGAATCACATAGCTGTCATAAGATTTGACAGCTGACATAGTTTTCACTTCCCCTGTGACTGCATGAAATACTTCCTCAGTAGAGGATGTTACCACATTTGCTTTGGGGTATTTTCATTTATTTTTTGGATGGGAGGCAGAGAGGAGCATTGCTCCAAAAAGTGCAACCACAAAACTTCAGACTTATTGTAGGTGATATGACAGTATTACAGTACAGAGACAGTAACACTGCAGAACCACCATTCATCTCATCAAACTGTCACCTCTACCAGAACTGCAAGGTCCTGACACCTGAGGGTAGAGATGAAAGGCAGGCACCAGGCTGGAGCATTGTAGTGGGACAAAAATTCAAGTTCCGACTGTTAGGCCAATAGTCTCAGACAGTTAATTTAGGGTGAACAACCCTGACTGAAATTCAAAATTCCTAAAGGCGGCAACACAGTTCCAGGTTAGTTATACCTTGGTTAGAAGTCACGCAGTTGGAAACGAACACTCAAAATAAGCTGTCTGTAAAGACTGAAAGACACAGCAAACAGGAGAAGCATACGTTCAGAAAAGTGACCAGTCTAGTAGCATTAAGGCAGTAGCAGCAGGCGAAGGCTGAACCACAAAAGACTTGACTGGCTTCAATCAGCAGGGAGCAAAAGGCTATGCTGGCTTTTGTTACATTGTATTTGTCTGCCTGGTAGTAAGCGTGCGAATGTGGCTTTTCAGCAGAACCAGCTCTTTAAATATTTGAATAAGGTTTTTAAGAACCATGGTAATACAGTTTCCATTTCTACCTAAGAAAATATAGTAAAGATTACAGTCAAAATGAGGGGGGAAAAAAAAGCAGCGAAAAAATGAAGTTTTCTTCAGAAGTCTCCCCTCCTGTCTCTTGTCTTACTGACGAATTTAATTCCCGATTTCAAAATAAACCACCTGCCACACCTTTGGTGTGTGCTCACTTACCATATCAGCAGTGAGAAAGGATCTAGTAGGAGACAAACCCCTACTTGCTGCTACACCTGCATACCTATCTTCTAGGGCTGTACTCAAGCTTTTTGTGCTTGGAGTCTCAGCTACAGACATAATTCTAGTGCTGCATCTTGCCACCTGAACAACAGATGTCAAGAAACAAATCTTGACTACACAAATCAGAAAGTAACTTTGAAACTGAGAAAGGTTGTGGATGAGCATCCTACACTTAAAAAGAATTAGAAGCAGGGAGATCAACACATTCTAAGCCAACCTGTGTATTCTCTACCTTAGTTACTTATACACAGTAAGAAACACTGCAATCCCACGCAGCTGAAAGTTATTTGAAAAATTAATTCCCTCACACCATACCCAGAGAATAGAACTGTACAGACAGACAGGTGCCTACAAACTCCCCTTCACCTGCCAAAGCTTTTATCTGCTGACAGACTAACTTTGAGTCACTACAGAATATGGTTCAATAATTTGAAAAATAGTTTGCCAATAAAAGCACCACCTGTCAAATTGCTCAGTGAGGCAGGAAATGAGAACCTGCTTATACTGGGAAATACCCAAATATAGAAAGAATTATTGTCATGGCATTATTTCAACAAAACACACTTTTCTTAAAAAAATGCTCTTCATCCTAATTACAGAGTACTTAAGGGACCTTACGGAACTAAGTAACCACAGTTTTTCACTGTGCCATTATTCCTGTTCTCTTTTGACAAAACAGGGAAACTAAACCAATGAAAGCTATCACAGTTCTAAACTGCTGCTGATTCCTAGCAACTGCTTCCTCTTCTTCAGCCCATATTTGCACTCTGGGTAACTATGAATAAACTAGTACATTTCAGCCTGAAACAAAGATCTGAGGAATGTTCATCCTGCTCCTTTAAAATATGCTGACTAGGCTGTAGAATAGTTAGCAAAAGACTAACACAGAAAAGTAAAAACATCCCTCCCTTCATGGTATTAACGTATTCATCATCATCTCAGTGACATACAAACCAGCTTCAACTAGGTAAATCTTGCACTGTTGTGAATGCCAGTAGGATTACACTCTCCAAACAAGAATTCAGACACAGAACAGAAGCTAAAAATGGATGTGTGCATACGGGAGGTCAAAGCTTTCCTGTGAGACAGTCTTCCACTGTAAAAACAGTGGTTCCAGGTTTCATTTTTGTGGTGTTTTAAAGAACTTTTAAGTTGAACATGA